AAATATGAAATATGAGACTATCTATGCTATGTTACAAATGAGGAATATAAATATTTAATTAATGTTTCTTGAGTTCCTTTCTTAAAAGTATTGTGTATTGTGCTGGAAGCGTATTAGAGTTATTATCAGCTTGGTCTGTTAGTGCAGTGTGCCAGGACTCTAAGGTTTTAAGGTTCCTATGATTTCCCTTGTCTATTACTTTATCATTGGCAAAGTCAATAATATGATCTTGAGTCCATGCGTGTTTCGCAACATTCGACCCCTTCTTGCCTTGTTTCACATTCCTCACGTGTTCGGACTTTCTCGTCTTCAGGGAACTTCCTGTTTCGCCTATGTAGCTCCAACTGCAATCTTGACACGGTATCTGGTAGACCACGTTCTTCTGCTCTTCTGTTGGTGGTTTCTGTTTTGCAGATGGGAATTGGCGTTCGAGGGTTTTCATTGGCTTATTATAAACTTTAATGTCATGTTTTTGGAGTGTTCTGGCTAGAGGTTCGGTTAGTCCTTTGATATATGGTAGAACCGCAATTCCTGCAGATGGCGCCTTTCCTTCAACCAGTTCGAAAAATGACCGCACTAACTCTTCAGGACTTGCTACAGTTTTGTTCTTATGTTTTTTTTATTAATCCTAAAATTAATTTCTTCGGATAACCATTTGATGTCAGGACTGTGGTTACATGATTTAGTTCTCTTTCTTTGCTTTCGTTAGTGGTAGGAAGTGACAAGGATCGGTTGATAAGTGTTGTTGCAGTACTAATTTTATGCTTTTGGTCGTGGTGTGATAGGTAGTTTAAGTAACGGTCTGTGTGAGTAGGTTTGCGGTAAACGTCAATAAAAATTAAGCCGTCGTTTCTAGAAACTAATGTGTCAAGGAAAGCGATCTTTCCGTCCTTTTCGTTTTCGATAGTGAAGTCAATGTGTGGTTCAATGGAGTTTAGTGTGTCATGAAAAGATGATATGTTAGTCTTTTTTATTATGGAAAATATTTTAGAACGAAATTAGAAAACGATCCGACACTTCCGGACAGAACTCAACTTGACATTGACGACATTATTCGACTTTTATCTTTTGTTTTATCTAACAGTTTTTTCGTTTACAACAACAACACCTACAAACAAATCCATGGATGTGCCATGGGCAGCCCCGTTAGCGCGATTGTTGCTAACTTGTGCATGGAAGTGATAGAAGAACAGGCCATCCGAGACGCAACATCACCACCTAAAGTTTGGAAACGTTTTGTAGACGATTGTTTTTCCATAATAAAAAAGACTAACATATCATCTTTTCATGACACACTAAACTCCATTGACCCACACATTGACTTCACTATCGAAAACGAAAAGGACGGAAAGATCGCTTTCCTTGACACATTAGTTTCTAGAAACGACGGCTTAATTTTTATTGACGTTTACCGCAAACCTACTCACACAGACCGTTACTTAAACTACCTATCACACCACGACCAAAAGCATAAAATTAGTACTGCAACAACACTTATCAACCGATCCTTGTCACTTCCTACCACTAACGAAAGCAAAGAAAGAGAACTAAATCATGTAACCACAGTCCTGACATCAAATGGTTATCCGAAGAAATTAATTTCAGGATTAATAAAAAAACATAAGAACAAAACTGTAGCAAGTCCTGAAGAGTTAGTGCGGTCATTTTTCGAACTGGTTGAAGGAAAGGCGCCATCTGCAGGAATTGCGGTTCTACCATATATCAAAGGACTAACCGAACCTCTAGCCAGAACACTCCAAAAACATGACATTAAAGTTTATAATAAGCCAATGAAAACCCTCGAACGCCAATTCCCATCTGCAAAACAGAAACCACCAACAGAAGAGCAGAAGAACGTGGTCTACCAGATACTGTGTCAAGATTGCAGTTGGAGCTACATAGGCGAAACAGGAAGATCCCTGAAGACGAGAAAGTCCGAACACGTGAGGAATGTGAAACAAAGCAAGAAGGGGTCGAATGTCGCGAAACACGCATGGACTCAAGATCATATTATTGACTTTGCCAATGCTAAAGTAATAGACAAGGGAAATCATAGGAACCTTAAAACCTTAGAGTCCTGGCACACTGCACTAACAGACCAAGCTGATAATAACTCTAATACGCTTCCAGCACAATACACAATACTTTTAAGAAAGGAACTCAAGAAACATTAATTAAATATTTATATTCCTCATTTGTAACATAGCATAGATAGTCTCATATTTCATACCATCTACTTAAGTTTAGCGTCCTTTATAGAATCATTTGTATACACCCGTCGAAGGCTATACAGGGTGTATCAAAATAAACGCAATTCATCTTTTGTGCTTAATAACTTTCGAAATACTATTTCTAGTTAAACGCTTTTAGGCTTACTTCAAAGCCTGTTCTTTTCTCTTTCAAACAAACTATTGTCCTTGTCTCCAATGCTAGTAATAATTGCACAGGAAAAGATTTAGTAAAACCTATCATTTTTAGTTGCTGTTTAATTATGCAAGTTTACTATGTTATTGTTTAGTCGGTTTAAATGTTAGAATTTTCTTCTTTAAACTTTAATGTTGTCGTCACTACATCTGGAAAACCACGTAAGAACAAATTAAAAGTATTTTAAAAGAGACCAGGTTGTTTGAAAATCCTAAACGAATGCTAAAAATCGTCAAAACATTCTGGTGTCTGAGCCAGAGTGTCATCGAATTGCGATGTAATGTAATGTAAACAGAAATTGTAGCAAGTTGATGTCAGTCAGCTTAGATGGTCCAAGCCAAAATTATATCGCATTTGAAGTTTCAAACTGAGTTAAAAATAGTGGAAGAAAAGCCGTAATTATACTTATTACTACAATCCATTTAATAAAATGCAACATTTTTTTGTTTTAATGAAAAAATCAGTTATTTTCATGAGAACGATTTGTTATTCCATCTCAATTTTTTTAATCTCCAATCGCAATAACGTAAAGTATTATTACCCGCGAACTAATGAGTCAAATTTAAGAAACAACCCACTGTTAGAAAGCTGAATGGCTACGCTTTACAATGAATGTAAACTTTAACATTTTCGTCTATTATTTGTTTAGCAATTTACATTTCAGTCGAGGATTGCGCTTTTTTTGATACACCCTGTAGACTGATAGCCGAAAGCTCGTAGAAATAAATATTTAATCAGAGACCGTTTAATAAATAAATTATGTTTCAACCTGGCTACGCATCCTCTATTTTTTCAACAATTTTTTAGAACAACTATTTTACTGTATAAAAATGATATTTTCATAAATATATCTTAAAACCAGCAGGAACATAACTCAAAAGCGTAGAGGTACCGCGACTTTATATTTTCCTTAATAATTCTTACATTATTTTATTGTTTGTCAATTTTACAACTTTATCATATTTTGCATGCACTGGCTAACATTTGGTGAAAATTTGATGAAAATCGGACTGATTTTGAGCGCGCAGTAGCGATTTTCCACAAAACACCAAAAAAGGTGTCCTGTAACCTTAATGATTTTCCCAAAACAAACAAAATGGCGGAAAGGTATTTTAAACACAAATGTGAAATGAAATTGCCCTAGAGGAACTAGATGGAAAGACAAACAGCACCAGATTTTGCTTTAACAAGAGAACTAAATGAAAATACGACATTGAGAAGTATCCAATTTTGACATTGAGAAGTATCCAATTTTGTCATGCTAATAATAAACAAGTAAGCATGCAATGTTGCTCGTACAATTAGGGATTAATAGTACTTGTGATGTTTGGAAATTTGCCAAATTGGACTCGCCCCGGCGGCTCGTACAATTTTGGCAAAATTTCCAAACATCACTCATACTATTAATCCCCAATTGTACTCGCCATCGCATGATTACCTATACTAATTGATAATAACTATTTAAAGTCACACCATATAATTGTTCAGTTTTTGCAGACGCTCTCTTGTAACATAACGTCTAGTTAGTTTCACTCGATTCCTCAATGGAATGCTCTGTTGACTTGCATTTGAATCACCTTCAGTAAGAATGTTGCCATTATCTTGTAAAACAGTTTTAGGTGTGGTTGGCGTCTGACCGATCTGATCGTGATGTCATCGTACCACTTTTGTGTCTTCCATTTCAATTTTTGCAGAAACCGGTCCAGTTTTGTCTATCTCCTTACCAGAAGACCGCTTCTCGAAATTTCCATCTACAAAGCCCTAAAGAAACCACTTTGTATTTTTTACTGTAAGAATTAAATTATAAACATGGTGTAACCACAAATTGTTCCTTATTTTTACAAAACACTTCTACCACTTATCGAGAGTTGCATAACTTCGTATCCAAATTTCATCTCCATTCAAAATATTATTTGGCTTCGAATGCTGATCATGTTGAAATTTTTGTCTATTTTGAGCATATCGTACCGTACGTTTTTCTGGTGTCGGGCGGCACCAACGTCAGATAAGAACGTAACTCTGCCCCTCAAGGTAATTGCGCTGAAGCTTGGCCGGTAGTAGTGTGTGATGTAATCCGGTACTTAAACAGAAATCGCGACAATCTTGTCTGCAAAGTTCCCTTTTGTTTCTCCATTGCTTGTTTAAGGTTTGCACAGCCCTGTCCACTACACCATTGATGATGCGTGATATGGGGCTGATTTCACATGTCGCATTCCATTCTTCACCAGAAATTCATACGTTGCTTACGAAAGCAGGACTATTATTGAAACCACCATTTCGGGTAGCCCCCGACTTGCAAATGTCATTCGTAGTTTCTCAACCTTTATTCGAATTGGTCAGGTGAATATCCAACCACTTAGTGTGCATCAAAAATTAATATGCTGGTGGGCCAGCATAATCCACGTGAATCCTCTACCATGGTTGATGCGGCCATTCCCACGGATGCACAGGTGCTCTTGGTGGTACTTTCTGATGAATATGTCATGATGTAGAACAATTTCTTGCTCGTTCCCCATTCACTTTATCCATACCAGGTCACCAGACGTAGCCACGAGTTTTGACATACCAGGATGTGCTCATGCATGATATCGATGACCTGACTTCCTCCTTGAAGAGTCAGAAGAAGTATCACCACTCTCGATCCCCACAACATACAACCTTCCTGGACACCCGATTCGTTTCTGCGAGTAAAATATGGCTTGATTCTGTCCTCTTGCACGGTGGTTGGCTATCCATGCATGGTTTGGTACACTTGTGCTAACACCGGGACTCTCATTGTCCATTGTTTGATTTTCACTACATCTTCGGGACAACTGATCCATCAAATGTACAACTTCACAGGGTATCGGCGTCGTTCTCGGCTCGATCTTAAACGGCAGTCTGCTAAGGGCGTCCGCGTTGCTATTCTTCTTTCCAGGTCTAAAAATTATATCACATTCGTAGGCCGACATCGTCAAGGCCCATCTTTGAATTCGACTCGATGCCATTTGTGGGATTGATCGTTCAGAATTAAATATTCCTATAGGAGCTGTTTATCTATACTATTTAAAACACGAGTAGGAGTGGAGTATATATATATATATATATATATATATATATATATATATATATATATATATATATATATATATATATATATATATATATATATATATATATATATATATATATA